AGTGTTAATAGTGTATTTTAGGAATATAGGTGAATTTTATTTTCTTCTTTTAAGATTATCTGTATTTTCTAATTTTTCTACAATGATCATTACTACTTATGTAATTAAAAGATACTGAAACAAAGTACATTTGATCTCAGATCCGTGGAGGAACTAATTTGAGACTTCCTAAGTAATATATCATAATGTTTTAGCTTATGCATTACATATTGAATAAAATAGGTTTGAATATATATATTTTTAAAAGGTTCTGATTTGGAATGACCATCCATGTTCAGATAAAGTTTTAGCAGCATTCTTCACCATTCACAGGATGGTTATCTCTCCAAAGTAGACCTAGTTTCAATTAAAAAAAGGAGAGATCCAGGAGGAGATACAGAAACCAAAGTGTTAACCAAAAAATAATAATTTCTATGAATGGAGGTCTTTTAAAAAAATTTTTTTTGGTAGAATGGCTTTTTTGCTGCATACCTAATATTACACCAGAATTGATCACTAACAATATGTTAATGACTTCCTCTTTCATCTCTATTCTATTTAGCAGTTAATTAAAATATCTGAGGACTGATAAGCATTTCATAAAACAAATATTTTAATTCCCCTTTGCCTGGGTTGATAATGGAATAAAGTAAAAGAGAAAGTATCTCAACTTTGGGGAAAACAGTCTGAAGTTAAAGGCTCAGTTTTTTTGCTTTGATGAGTCACTGAATATCAGTCTTAGTTTTCTCATTTATAAAATGGAGATAATACTTCCTAGTTCCTAACTTGTAAAGACTAAATGTAAGAAGCCCTCATCTATCCAATGATGTGCTTAGCTGACTTGCCCTGAGTCAAGATAGCAAACTGTTAAATTTTCAGGAATTTTTGAGCTGGTCGTTAAACATAGCCACTAGTAGCCCTGGTCGGTGTGGCTCAGTGGATTGAACACCAGCTAGCGAACTAAAAGTTTGCCAGTTAAATTCCCAGTTAGGGCACACACTTGGGTTGCAAGCCAGGTCCCCGGTTGGGGGCCTGAGAGAGGCCACTGATAGGTGTTTCTCTTGTACAGAGATGTTTCTCTCCTCTTTCTCCCTTTCTTTCCCTCTCTCTAAAAATAAATAAGTAAACTCTTTTTAAGAAAATGGTTACTTATCTCTATTATTTCTGTATGGTGGAAATACTAAGTAATGATATGCCTCTGTACATCTCTTCCCAACTCCATGTTAAGTGAATCATGTTAGAGTTTGAATTTTGGCCACAAGAATTATTACACCTTGGAAATTAATGTTTTTTAGTCCCCACCCAAGGATTTTTTTTTCACTGCTTTCAAAGAGAGAGGAAGGAAAAAGGAGAGGGAGAGGGGAGAAGAAAGAGAGAGAGAGAAGGAGAGAGAGAAACATCAACTGGTTTGCCCTCTTGCATGCACCCTGATTGAGGATCAAACCCCCAACCTGGGCATGTGCCCCGACCTGGAATTCTACCCATAACATTTTGGTCTGTGGGACGACTCTCCAACCAACTGAGCCACACCTGCCAGGGCTACACCTTGGACATTAGCAAAATCTATAAACCAGGACTTGATTTATTGCTTTGATGATCGCTTAAGACAGGGATTCTCAACCTCAGTACTATGGACATTTGGGGCTGGATAATCTTGCCATGGAGGCATTTGCTGTACTTGCAGGACGCTTAGCAGCATCCGTGGCCTCTACCTGCTAGATTCCAGTTGCACTTCCTCCAAAGTTGTGACAACCACAGTTGTTTCCAGATATTGTCAAATATTCTATGGGAGGCAAAATTGCCCCCTTTTCCCCATTGAGAGCCACTGGTCTAAGGGTTGGTAAGTTAAGGTCAGCAGACAGAATTTGGCCATGGGTGTTTTTGTACAGACTGCAGGCTAAACAGAGATTTTAGATTTTTAAAAGGTTGTGAAATATGACAGAGATCACCTGTGGCCCTCAAAACCTAAAATATTTACTTTTTGGCCCTTTAGAGGATACGTTTGTTGATCTTGAAGTGATGGAGAAGTTAATAATGCTAATTAAACATAAAAGTATGTCATATTTGTAGCTGTTACATTGTGAAAGTCACACATAAAAAATGATCAAAGAGCCCTGACAGGTGTGGTTCAGTTGGTTGGGCATCATCCTGCAAAGCAAAAGGTCGCCAGTTCGATTCCCGGTCAGGGCACATGCCTGGGTTGAGGGTTATGTCCAGGTGGGGCACATACAGAAAGCAACCAATTGACATTTCTCTCCCTCCCTTCCTCCCTCCTTTCCCCTCTCACTACTCAAAAACATGTAATTCAGCAAAAACTGCCATGTCACTGATGAACAAGTAACTTTCCAACATACATCATGTTGGAGCTGCAAAAGAGGGTACAAAGTTAATGTATATAATTTGTATGTGAGTAGCAGCTTACCAGTAGGTCACATATGTGATTTCATGATAATAAATACATTGGGAAAAGAATTAGTGGACTGGAATGAAGTCCATTTTTCAAATCATGGTTGTACTGCAACCATAAGTTGACTACCAATACTAGGCTTCAGCAAAACTCAGTGAAAGAAGTCTGAGAATCAATTGGCTACATGGGATTTGCAAAAAATACACAAAAATTGTATATGGTATATTTTAGTATTTGTAAAACATGAGTTACACATCTGTTGTATCAAAAAAATTTAAAATAATCATGTGAGTGTGTGTGTGTGTGTGCGCCACGCCCCTTGGATAGCTGGTTGTTTAACACTGCCCCTACCTATCCTGCCCCTATTTCTTCGTGCCTCCTCCACACTCTTAGTTGTAAAACTGTGGCCTCCTCTTTACTCCGTGGGATTCCCCAAGCCACCCCCTGCCTCAGAGCCTTTGCTGCTGCCTTTTCCTTGCATTTAAATGCTCCCTTTCCCTCTTCTCATTATTCCTCACTCCCAATACCTGATCCTTCAGGTCTAGTCCAGTTGGACAAATATGATAGTGCAAAATGCCATACAAAAAAAAAATCACAGCTAGTTCTTATATCTCATCTCTGTGTGTCAAATACTCTATATGTATAGCACTTTGCATGTATTACTTTATTTAATCCTTACAATAATACCATGAGATAGGTAGTAATTATATCTCCATTTTGTTGGGTAGAAAAGTAAGACGTAAAGATGTTAACTAAAAGCTAAAGGCACACACCTTATAAGTGGTAGAATTGGGATTTGAACCCAGGCGATCAACTCCAGAGTCTGTGTCCTCAACCATCACCTTCCACTGCCGCTGGGGAGAAAGAAATCCTGACATAGAACCTCGTCATACAAGAGGCATTGGTCTGTGGGTCAGGCAGGAGTCCCCTGAGCTGCAGAGGCACAGGGAGTAGCATCACAAAGCCACTTCCAATGGGCGAGGGAGAACGTACAGGGCCACGTTCCCCACTTCCTTGTGATAAAGGGCGTATGGGGCGGTGCCTCGGGACAGGAGGAGCCGACGGGGGCGGCACATAGGAACCAGCAGGACCTAGGCATGCTAAGTCACCAGAGAAGTAAAATAGAGCCTAACAGATTTGAGCATGGCCTTCCACTGACTTAGTTCACAATGGGGAACATTATGTGCACACACACAAACACACATGTGCACTCACACATGCCATTTATGTACACACACATTACTTTGAAAAGTTGTTATTTTCTCAGCTCACTCATTGATTCCGTTGACAAATAGTTAGGCAATACTTTTTCCCTGAGAGACGCTATGCTAAGCCCAGGGATGGATACAAAGGAAAGTCTGCTCTCTGTGTTTGTCCTCTAGAAATTTTGTTCTTGTAACAGAGATAAAGATAAGATAAGTGGGCAAGATAAGTTGCCCACTTATCTTATCTACAAGGTCAGAGGAATTAAGGGACAGCCAGAGAAACAAGGATGAAGGAAGTTTGGTGGGAAGGGCAGGTGAGAGACAGGGTTGGCTTCAGGAAGAACTTAGCTTTTGCAATGGGCCTGGAAGCCGTGTGGTTTTGAAAGGAAGATAATTCAGGTAAAAGGATGAACTTGTGCAAAGGCAAGAAGGCAGGAGAGCTTGGCATCTCTGGGCAAGAGATTTGGGCCTCTGAAGAGACAAGATGTGAGAAAATGCTAGAAAGATAGGTTAAGAATAGATTGTCAGGATATGGAAGGGGTTCTAAATGTCAGGTCATATATATCATTTTACATTTTTTAAGCAGTGGGAACCCCTTGGGGATTTTTGATTAACAGAACATTTAGCAAGGTGCTGGGTACATAGCGTGCAGACAATCAACCAATATTTGTTAAAGGAATAACAGCTAAAACATCTTGGGTGCTTGCTATATGCTGGGCAGTTTTCTAGACATTTTACAAATTTTTAGCAATGCGTATCATTCTCACCATAACTCATGAGACAGTTACTCCATCTCTGTTTTCTAGACAAGGACACCGAACTCAGAGAGGCAAAGTGTCCCGCCGAAGGTCTTGACAAATGAGTAAGCATCTTACCAGACCTCATACTTTACACTGCTATGCAATTAGGAAAAGAGGAGAGGAAAGAAAGAAAAGAGTTATGCGGCCAATGTTTTTCTTAAAAAAGGAAGCTGTGATCGGCCCAAATTAGCAGAGGAAAAGGGTGGGATGAAAATAAAAAAAAAAAACATTCCAAAGATAGAGTCCACAAGAATCTGTTATTACTTGACATAGGATGCCTGGGAGAAGGAAGGGTCGAGAAGGCTCAGAGTTTCAAACTTCAGTCCCTAGGAGGTGGTGAAACTATGAAAAGAATTAGGAGAGAGATAATGTGTACAGAAAAAAAAACCCAATAATTATGTACAGAAATCTGGGTACTTGGAACCCCAAAAAGCCTGAGGAGTGTTTTCAAACGCAAGCTTCAGAGCCCCTGGCTTTGTCCCATTCCCTGCTTGGGGGCACTGGGAGTGGTTCCTGGGAATCTCCAGCCTCTCCCTTTCTGTGTTTATATCATTTAGCAGGGACAGGATTGTTAATGACTAATCTGTGTCCATGAGGCACGGAGCCAAGGAAGAGATGCTGCTGGGCCGGAAGGCCGCCGGCGCTCATCCACAGCTTTTGCTCGAACTCCCTCCTCCTCCTCACTCCGCCGTCTCCTGGATTCACCCCAACGACGCAAACTTGGATTCTGAGCATTTGTAGAAAAATTGCCTGGATTTGGAGAGGAAGACTGGACTCAGAATCTTCCCAGGCCTTGAAAGTTCATCTGTGACCTGAGACAATCCAAGTGAGTGTCTAATTCCTCCGGGAGTGGGGTGTTTATCGATCTCAGGGCGACAGGGGGAAGGTGGTCATTTAAAGTTTCTCTTTAACATCAGGAAGTTGGGTCGACGAATAAATGCTAGGTTTGTAGAATTTAATCAGAAGTCCTGAAAATTTAAAAAAAAAAAAAAAGGAGAAAACTCTTTAAAGCAAACAGAAAGGAGCAAAAGTTCATGGGTCTAACCTGACTTTATTGAAAAACAAGTTGTTGGTCTTATTGAACAATTATTTAAAAATGTCTCTTTTAACATTGTAGTCGCCTGGGAGAATCGTGCGGGCAGTGCATTCTGGAAATGCCTCTGTTCTGATCCCATAGGTAATTTGACTTGGATAGTGTTCTACATTTTGGTGATCTATCAAATCCTGGTGTGGGTTTGGGAATATTGCTAATGCCAGATTACTTGGAAACTAGGCATCGCGCAGTGTTTAAGTTATGCTTAAGTGAAATAAAAGTTCTTCCTAGGAGAGTAGGTTTAAAAAGTTTTCTCTTTTGACTTCCACTGTAAACTCTTCTATTGCTTTTCATTTTTCATATTAGACCAGGTGGGAATACTTTAAAAAGATGGAAATTATTAGGAAGAACTTTATTATTAAAAGTGTCCAATGTCTGAATCTACAGATAGGGCAGCTCCACCCATAGTGAATTAGCCATGATGAGGTGAGCCTGGGTCATTTCTCTCAGTTGAGTTTTTATTTAGAAGGGCGGGCGGTGGGGGTTATATACATGACTCCTTTTGGATTCTTTCTCTGAGAAACACACCTAGATTTAAAGAAATCTGGTGTTGTCTTGGAGCCACCTCAGCAGTATCCTCAAGAGGGGTGCCCTGGCAGGGTGGCTCAGTTGGTTTGAGCATCATACCATGCACCAAAAGTTTGCAGGTTCAATACCCGATCAGGGCACATGCCTAGGCTGTGGGTCTGATCCCCGGCGAGGGCACGCGCCAGAGGCAAACAATCGATGTTTCTCTCTCTCTCTCTCTCTCAAATCAAAAACATATCCTTGGGTGAGGATTAAAAACAATATTACAAGATAGGTAGAGAAAGATGTTTGAGAGCCATCACTGGGTTTCTAGCTGTCATAGACACTTTCATCTTCGTCATCTCCCCCACCTCTAAATCCTGGACCTGTGCCATTTGCCCCGTGGACTTTTCTGTTTTGCTGAGAATGTTGCAATATGGCTGATGTAACTCTGAGTTAGCTGATTACTAGGCGGGCCAGGGACAACACTCTCTTGCCCTGGGACCCTTCCTCAGGACTTGCCGCCTTGTTTTCCACCACACACCTCTGCCCTTGCACCGCAGTTGGAGATGGAAAGTAATGTAATCCTTGTTCTTCTCTTTATTTCCACCTCTCCAAGGTCTGGCCAGTTGTAATGGAACACCCACCCACTAGCTGTGAGCCCCTGACAACTTGATAAAAAAAGAAATGTGTGTGTGCGGCAGAGTGAACTCTGGTTCAATGCTTACTGACAGGTCACAGGCTTTCCTTAAATTACCTGTATTCTCACAATAACCTTGCATGGAAGTTACCCTTATACTCATTTCACAGATGAGAAAACTGAGGCTCAAAGAGGACAGATAACCTGTCCCTAGTCACACATTTAGGAGGAGCAGGATGTAAATATGAGGGCAGGTCTTTCTGGCTCCAAAGTCTTTTTGTTGCTACTCTGATATTGTTGGAGGCTGGGAAAACTTGAAATCTGGGATGATGGCAGAGTAGCTGGACAAGCCTGCACCCATTTCAGTGGGATGGGGGTGAGTTGGTAAGCCCCAGTACAAATGTGAACATTCGTAAGGCCTTTTCTAATCACTATACCATGAGCAGGGGAAATGGAAAGTTTTCAGCACTATTTGCTTTAACCCTGAGGTCAGTGTAGGAAGGCTGATTGGAGACTTCAGTTATCAGCATCTTAATTAAAGACTGCAGGAACCCGCCGTGGTGCTGTGATTAGGGATGTCTGAACCGCTATGGTTCACAGAGGCTATGGGTTATCAATGCCCTGAGAATACAAAAGGCTCACTTTGTCATTAGGTGGGTAGGGAAAGAAAAGAATAAAGTATATGCTTTTTTCTTGATAGGGAGAGTTTTCCCTTCATTTTGCTCACAGTCTCATTTTTCTCTTAAATCTTAGCACCGTAGATCTCAAAGGGGCCAAAAGAAATAGAAACAATTTTCTTCTTCCCAGGTATTACTTATTGCCCCTGTATTTTCTATCAGCTGAGGTGTAGCTACAAGGCAACACTGTAAGATTGTCCTCAGTCACCAAGCTGCATGGGGAGGCAAAAGGCACCTTATATAAAAATATCCACTCTCCCCCCGTCTTTCCCACCTGCCCCTTCTCTCTGTAATCCGCTAACCTCTTTGCTCTCCACAGTGAGTTAGTTCCTCCCTCAGTTTGCCCCTTTCCAATTTTAGAATAAAATAAAAGAATGTCTGCTATTCTTTTTCTCCTCTTTGTAAATTTGTGTCAGTACAATGCTAATATAATGCAGCATGATTGTGAAGTGAAATATTGCACAGGAAATAAAATATTGCCCAGGAAAAAATCTTGCCTGGGACAAGAAGGCATTGTCCCTGGTTGATACATTCTTAAGTCTAATAATTATAATAGAGTTCTGGTGATGAAAATTATTATGCATGAATAAAAAATAAATTCTTATTAATCTTCATTTTTTAAGATAAAAATTCTAATAGAACTTTGAGATTTTGGTCCCCATATTAAGTAGATTTAGAAGGCCTTTTCCTGACCCTAATGATCCGGGGATACCTTGAATCCTTTATACTTTAGTTAATGTCACTAGGTCAAAGAAAAGGAGAAACAGCATAGCTTTGCAGTTTCAGGTCCTGGCAGAATTGTCTCCCGTGGTCCTCTGGGAGACACTTGCCCGTGGAGAAGACGGTCTTGCTGAGGGATGCTGGTGACCAGAGGAAAGCCCCGTGTGCTGGGGCTCAGGGCTTCCCTGACCAGGCAAAGAGACATCCGCCTCCATTTCCGAGGGAGCCGTGAGGTTCTCGGAGTTGATGCTGCGTCTACACCAGCCTGTCGCTGAAGGAGCAAAAGCGGTGTTAAGAGGGCAGGACAAAATAATGTCATTTCAAAGTGATTGTGTGGGGGATCTTTATTCTTTTGGATTCCAGACTCTGAATCTGAGGCCATAATTGGCCTTCAAGGGGTCAGGAACTCTTTGACGCTATGTTAAAAAAAAATACATGTATCTTATAGAGGATTTTTAGGGCAGTGAAACTATCCTGTATGATACTATCATGGAAAACCCATAGAATATACAACACCAAGAGTGAACCCTGATGTAAACTATAGGCTTTGGTGTCAGGGTAGGTTCATCAGACGTAACAAGTGTACAGCTCTGGTGGAACGCCTAGTGGGAGAGGCTGTGCATTTGTGGGGACTGGGATGTAAACAGCAACCCTCTCCTCCAGAGAATTTAAATGTGCTTGCTTATGACATCCAGCTGTATAACTGGCCGAATGGAGAATGATGAATGATATCTTCAGTGTATTCATCTCATTAAAAAAATCACAACCTTATTACTAAGTCTGAAATCTCTCTTCATCTTCCCCAAAGCCATTCTCCTCTACTTTCCTTTTTCAATGTTAACGTATATAAGACCACCTCAGTCTTTTCAACTGCAGCCTAATATTTGCCACTATAGATTGAGCACAGTGTATATAGCCATTTCACTGTTGATGGTCATTTAGGTAGTTTCCACCTTTTCACCACAAGAAGCAATGCAATGCCTCCTTGTGTGCATGTGCAGAGGTTATGCAGGGAAGACACCTAAGAATTAGAATTGCATTTATTTTAACATACACTGCTAAAAACCTTGCAAAAGATTAAAAAGTATGCTCCTACTAGCAGTGTATGAAAACATGTATTCCTATGCCCTTAGTCCAACTTTTAATATTATTAGACTTGAAAAGGTATGACAATCTGAAAATGGTATCTAGTTATATTAATTTGTATCTTTCTAATTATTAACCAATTCTAGATGTTTTGTATGTTTATTGGCCACTTGAATTTTGGTAAATTTCCTTTTTATATCCTTTGCCAGTTTCTTCCCCGGATTGCTTATCCTTTCTGTTTTTATTTATATGAGTTATTTATGCATTGTTTGTATTATTTTTTTGCTGTTATTTATGTTGTAAACATTCCCCCCTAGTTTGTTTCATATATTTAACTTTGTTTATGGTGTTTTGATTTCTGTTGTCTTGATTTTAATGTAGTCAAATTTATTCTTTTTCTATTTATTTCTTGTTTAGTAAGTCCTTCTCAATCCCTAAGTTCATAAAGATCATAAATGTATTTCCCTATATTTAATTCAATAATTTCATAATCTTAAAGTCTTTAATTCACCTGAGACTTATTTTTAAGGATACAAGACAGAAATCTTTATTCTGCCTGTCTGCTGCCAAAGAATAGCCAAGTTTTCTGACGCTATTCCTTGAAAAAAGCCATCCTTCCTCCACTGATTTGAACTGACTTCACTAGATGCAGCAAAGAGAATGATTTAAGGTTGCCCAGAACACACCATGCTATTTTTCCTTCCTATGCCTTCCCCACTACATGACTTCTGCATAGTCTAATGCCTGCTCCTTCAAGATGAAATTCAAGAATCAGCCTTCCACACTCAGGAAGACTTTCCTCATCCTCTTAGTCACACCACTGCTTAAAATCCACCAATGACTTCCATTTAGAATGAAATCCAAACTCTCCACCACGGTCAACAGGACATATGAGAGCTGTCTACTCCTTCGGCCTCATCTCCTGCACACCCCCTCTGCTCGCTCATCGCCAGCCTCCCTGGGCTTCTACGGTTCCTCCAGCCCTCCAAGCCCTGGTGCTTCGCACTTGCCGACCGCTCTGCCTGGACTTGCTTTTCCCTGACATGGCTTACTCCTTCTCATCCTCCACATCTCAGTTCAGAAGCCCACTCTCCGGAGAGCTT